ATGAGGGTTGTATAGGGTGTAGGAATGACAAAGGGTGTAGAATAACATCCCTCTATATATATATATATATATATATATATATATATATATAGACTTGTGATCATATGAGACCAAGAGTTTTTCGTGAGATCTGTAAGATCAATTCTCAACCTTTTAATTAGATCTACAATATGAACATTCATAATCACAAAATTGTCACGAGACTTGTCAATAATCACAAAATTGCTACCGTGCAACTTTATGGGGTGTTTGAGATTGCTTATTTAAAACAACTTATGTTTTTTTGTAAAAGTGTTTATTAACTTATGTGGTATTAAACCGGAGTTAAATTAAACAGAGTTAAAATTGTAAACTGGTAATAAGCAGTTTTTCATAAGTCAGGAAGAATTAACTTATCAAAAACAGCTTATTACCGGTTTGGTACCGGTATAAGCAGTTTTTTTTCTTATCCAAACACCAGAAAACAGCTTATCACCGGTACCAAACTGAAATAAGTTAAAAAGTAGCTTTTATAAGCAATCCCAAACACCCCCTTAGACCATTAGATCATTAGTTTATAAAGTTGATCAATGAACATAGATTGGTCTTACAGGTTTCACGAAAAACCATTGGTCTCACGTGAACCCAACCCTATATATTGGGTTGGTTCACGTGAGACCAAAAGTTTTTCGTGAGACCCGTAAGACCAATTTATGTTCATTGATCAACTTTATAAGTTAACATGTTAACATATGTTAATATTTCATGTGAAGATATAGTTGAACATCTCGAACAAATTCTCTAAAATAGATATTATATTCTCTATTTTGCTTCAATAGATTCTCTACATTGTTCTTTAAAATAGAAAAAACAACAGAAAACTCAAAATTTAGAGAATTCTTTAAAACTTAATGGGAGTAGAAAAAGCTAACTTTTCTGTATTTTCTCATCAATTAGATTGAATTATTATTATTTTATATAATTATTTAAAATATTTATGGGAATGATGACTTATAAAACATAATAACTTTGGAATTTTTAATATAAATTTCGAATTTTTATTTAACTTTATATCGGGTATAAATATCATACATAACACAAAAAAATCCGGCATTTTAATTATTATTTTTATTTTAAATAAAAAAGGTAATGGCTTATCGACGGCAAAAGATCATATGCTCAAGTTTACGTCTGATTCTTCAGTGTAAGATTCAGTGTTTTGAGGAGGTTAAGTAACAATGACTTAGAGTATGATGGATGTGATGCAAAAGTGAAGTCACTATAATAAATTCTGTAGTATTTGATAATCAATTTTCCATTTTGATTTTTCTTATACTGTAAAGTTAAAATAATCAGATTAACACGTAATTATCAAAAAAGAACCATATACAGTGTAACTCATTGATTATGTGAAAATGAATGAACTCCAACCATTTGAAAGAAAAGATACCAACTCAAAAAGAGAGATAGAATTGATACCTTGGCAACAATAGAGGATGGGAGAAATTGATCAGAAGATGAAAAAGAAGACCGTCGGAGGTTGAAGCAGCGTCGACCAATGGAGTTGGTGAGGAGCCGATTTTGATTCTTCTGGGGCCGGGGAAGGAGAAGTTGCACAAAAGAAAACATGAGCTTGGACTTGGGTCTGAATATAATAAAGTCCATTATGTTTTTTTCTTCGACATATTAACACTACATCCCCTTTGGCTTCAAATTAAAACATTTTTAGCTCCGAACTTATAAATAAAAAATGATTTCACTTACTAACCCCTCAAAATGAGATGTTACAGTTCTCCCTCTCTCTCAAAAGAGATTTCGTCCAACTTCACCACTTAATGAGGTACAAACACATATTATGTCACTTGTCCATCCATTGAACAAATTCATCCATGAGGGATCTAAACATTGGCTTCAATATACATATACATATACATACATACATACATACATACATACATACATACATACATACATATATATATATATATATATGGTATATTTCTTTTACAACCTTGTGTATTTATACAATCCTTGCAACCCAATTAATTGAGATATTTATAGAAATGATGGAAGTTCATTTATTATGATTTGAATATTTATGGAATATGAATAGAGTTCATTAATTATGATTAATACTTTATATTAGGAAACAATTAAAACTTCTATGATATCACATGTTCATCAAATGAAATGGACGGTTGAGATTGAGTTGTATTGATTGCACAAATGTCAAAGGTTGTATAATAACCAACCTCTCTCTCTCTCTATATATATATATATATATATATATATATCCATAGAGAAATGTGTACGTATACATCCAACTTTAGAAACGCACACCATAAATAGCTAGAGATAGCATACAACCATACATTTCTTTAGAATATGTGGTTGCAATGTCAACGTCAAACTCCATGAAATTTGAGTGTGCGTATAAATAATATATATATATATATATATATGTATAACAGATTTAAAAATTCTGTTGTGTTTCTTATTCATTCTTGATAGAAAATCATACAATATAAATATACAAGACAAATGGAAAGAAAAAGAAACTATTCTATGAATCCCTGATTTTATGGGATTGCCTACGGTCACTAATATTGTGAGATTATAATCGGCTCTCATTACTCCCACATTAAATATTTAATCATTTGCATTTTTACATTTTCCCACAATATACATATATATTCACACACGCAAAACACATTAGACGAAACATAAAAAACGACGATGGGCGAAACCGTAACTGAAAGTCAAATCCCTAACAATTTTGTAGCAAATAAGTCGTAACTAATCAGTTGGTCGCAAAAATATTTTGCTACGGTTTTACCGACAGGAGTTCAATATTAGCAACGGAAGAGCCTATAGCATATCCGTATAAAAAATGTGGTTTATACATTTTATCATTTTTCTCTTCTCAAGTAAAAAAGTCCACCAAAAAATGATGAATTTGCTACGGATTAGCTATAGGGAATGAATTTGCTATAGATTAACTATGGAATCAGTACTTTTAAATGAATAAGACATACAGATATAGAGTTGTGTTTTTTGATGTAAAGATGTTAACTGCTAATTGAACTAGAAGTTAACCATAAATTGAGGTTAAATGAAAAGAGGTTAAGTGTAAAATATGCTAAGGTTTAGGTTTAATTTTTAGCCCAAATGCATTTGAGTGGTTAACTGAATAACTCTAAGAGGCTGCTTACCAAATTTTTTATTAAGTCTTGTATGGATAAATTTGTCTGTCTGGATAAATGAGTGTTATTGTTTACTTTTTTATTTGAACCAACAGTTTGAATAACATAAATTGAATAACATAAATGACCGATTTACCCTCCAATATTAATTATTTGAACATCAAAACAAAAAATCATAAAGAAGTCGAAGATGGAGTGTCTCATATGGGAAGGAGCTGATGCTTTAAATAATGGGTAGGGATGTCATTTTTGTGGCTGAATAGGGACAACACATCATTTCTATCTGTGCGATTAAGCCATATTCTATGCGAATAAGTCGTAAGTAAACAATTCAAATAAGTTGTGTGAATAAACCAGATAAACCAACAAGCGTAATTAAACAACAAGTAAACAACAATGACGTAGATATGTGATGCAAAAGTGAAGTCACATCAATAAGTTCTGTAGCATTTGATTCCTTGTTTGTATAAAGTTAAAATAATCAGATTTACACCTAATTGTTGAAAAACATCCTCGTATTATGCATATGTTGTAATTCATGGGTTACGAAGATCTATATATATAGCTAAAAGGTGTGATCTTACTTCTATTATATCCATACACAAATGTGTACGTATACATCCAACTTTAGAAAAGCAACCAATTTGTGGTTGCACTGTCTCTGTCAAATTTCCATGAAATTCTTGTTTTTGTGTGTATATATATACATACACACGTAATTTGGAGCAAACAAGAATACTAACTATTTAAGAAAATGTAAAAAGGTCAAATCAGGTGCAAAATCACATCTGATTTTACATCAACGGTAAAAAAAGGTATAGAAACGACTTTGGTGTTGAGGTTGAGAGGCAAAGCCAGTTTTTTGTTCTCTTAAATAGGTACCGTTCTCGTTTGAACCAATCTCTCTCTCTATATATATATATGCATACATGCCTAAAAGACCATAGGAAAAATAAAGTTGCACCATTAGAAGAACAATGATTTTTTCCTTTGATCTCCCACTCTTTTCTCTTATTCCACTGCTTGTTCTGTTAATTTTCTTATTACTGCCTTTTAAATGGCTCTCATCTGTTGTAGAAAGAAACAAGAACCCACCACCCTCCCCGCGAAAGCTTCCAGTGATTGGAAATTTACACCAAATAGGTTCAAAACCACACCACTCTCTAAATGACTTGGCCCAAGTACATGGTCCAGTCATGCTGATTCACATGGGGAGTGTGCCGATGGTTGTGGCCTCCACAGCTGAAGCAGCCGGAGAAATCCTGAAAACCCATGATGCAGCGCTCTGCAACCGACCCAAATTGAATCTACCCCATGTGCTTACTTATGGTTCTAAGGACTTGGTATTTTCTTCATATGGAGAGTATTGGAGGCAGATCAAGAGCATTGCGGTGCTCCATCTTCTAAGTAACAGAAGAGTTCAATCATTTCGACGTGTGAGAGAAGATGAGACGAGAGTTATGATCGACATGATTAGAGAAAGTCGTGGTTCTTTAGTTGATTTGAGTGACTTATCTCTTACACTTACAAACAACGTAGTTTGTAGGGCGACCCTCGGAAGGACATATCCCGAGTTCGAGTTCAAGCACTTGTTGAAAAGGTTATCGTTCCTGATCGGCGTATACAGCATCGGAAATTATATTCCGTGGTTGTCATGGGTGGATTGGTTGAATGGCTTACAGCGTTCAGCACATGAAGTTGCTAAAGAATTTGATTACTTTATCGAGGGTGTGATCGGAGAACATATAAACAAGAAAAAAGGACTGGATATAGATGCTGAAAGTGATATAAGTCTAGATTTTGTAGATATCTTACTAGATGTTCAAAGTAAAACTGCAACCAGCTTAACCACCCAGAGTGTTAAAGCTCTCATCCTTGTAAACATTATCTTATCCTTGTTGATCTCTTCCCAGATTCAGGTTTAAATCAAACTACGAACAATGCAGCTTAACTGGGTTTTTGTGTTAATTTCTTGTAGGACATGTTTGCTGGCGGGACGGATACTACACCCCCAAGCATAGAATGGGCCATGAGCGAGCTAATAAAACACCCACGAATGATGAAAAAGCTGCAGCAAGAAGCAAGAGAAGTAGCACAAGGAAGATCCATGATTAACGAAGAGGACTTAGAGAAAATGCAGTACCTGAAAGCTGTGATCAAAGAGACACTGCGGTTGCATCCTCCAGCTGTGCTACTCTTGCCTCGAGAAGCAATAAAAGATGTCAAATTAATGGGGTATGACGTTAAAGCAGGCACACAAGTGGTAGTCAATACTTGGGCCGTAGGAAGAGATCCTTCAGTATGGGAAGAAGCCAACAAGTTTAGGCCAGAGAGGTTTCTAAACAGTGACATTGATTATAAAGGGCTTCACTTTGAGTTGCTTCCGTTTGGTGGTGGCCGGAGAGGGTGTCCGGGCCTTCAGTTTGCTGTAGCGATCATTGAGCTCTCTTTGGCAAATTTAGTGTACAAATTTGATTTCCAACTGCCAGATGAAAAACGAGGGGAAGAACTGGACATGAGCGAGACCACTGGCACTGTTGTCCACAGGAAGTCCCCTTTACTGGTCATGGCGACTCCTCGTTTCTAGTAGCTACAACTTCATCGATACTAAATAATGGTTTTATTTGTAATGCTCTTCGAAGATGCTCTCGTGTGTGTGTGTGTGTGTATATATATATATATATATATATACATCAGTTGTGTATCTGCAGGTTGCAGCGCCATGCATCTTGATTGTTAAGCTGATAACTCCAACATGATAACCCTTCTTGTTTCTTATGTTATCTGTGTCCCTCTTGGTACTGTTTTTATGATTATGTGTGGTTTTGATTTATAAATTTAAAGTTAATATAGTTTAGGGGATGGTTCTTTTGTTAACCATATATTTGATGTTAATTATTCGTAAACTAATCATGACATTTAATTTATTCGGTCTATGGATTAAAAAACATCAATCGGATTTTTGTAACACCTGTAAAATGAACACGTGCTATGTTGTAATGAACGAGAGTGAACAAGGTAATTTGAAAAAGATAAGGAGCTTTTATTATGCATTAATTTTTGGTTCATGGGAATCTCTCCTTCATCGTTTCGAAACTGAAATCAATCACATTTTACTTGTTCACTTATGAAGAGTTTATTACTTCACCAATGAATATTTATACGATAAGTAACAGAAGTCGGTAGTTATGAAAATTGTTTACTAATGAACAGTGTCTAGGGTTTACATATGAACATTATGTGAACTGGGTTCACTACCGAACATATTATTCAAGACAACATAAACGAAGAAATCATCTGAATCAATATGTTTCATGATAATTCCTTCAGCTAGTATCAGTGTCTTCCTTTTTTCTTGATTTATCCTTTGTCTGAAATTCCTTAAACGTTACTACAACCAACAAATTAAGCTGCCAGTAAATTCCAACGCAAGATGGTCGAAAATTGCCGTATTAAGTCGTTGGTTAGCTGTCGGTATAGAATGGTTTTCGAATTAAGTTCACAAGTATGGAAAATATTTAACGGCTGTTTGTCAACTGTCGTCGATGAAGGTTAATAACCATCAGTTTTTTCATACCGATCATTTTCTTATCCGCTGAAACTTTTCCCTCTAAAAACCGTCATTTATGATTCACCACAACAAAATTGATTTTATACGACGTCTAGAATTTGGAAGCGTCCTAAAAAAATATTATATCGGACTTAAATTTATAGGACCAAACCAAAAAACGTCTCATCTAAAAGTGTTATAGTAGGTTTATAAGACACTTTTAGATGTTAAACAAGTTTTTTTTTAATACAACACTATTCGAAAAGCGTCCTATAAACACACGTGTCCCATAAAATTATGGATTTATAGAACACTTCTCAAGGGTGTCCTATTGAAGCGTCCTATAAAATAACTAATAGGATAATTTTAAAAACATCCTAAAAAACTTGTTAAGACATTTATACGCGTTTTGTAAACATATTGTAACGCTTTTAGAAATGACACTTTATAGTTTCGTCATATAAACGTAAGTTCTATAAAGTATTCGTCTATTAGGACACATACACAATTTAGACGTCCTATAAAGCCAATTTTATTGTAGTGGTTGCTAGCGATGGTTTACCGACAGTTGCGTCCATATATCAGTGCTCCTTGTTGTTACCTAAAAGTGTTATAATAAGCTTATAAGACGTTGCGAAAATTTTTAAGATACTTTTGAAACTAAGTGTCCTATTAGCCCGTTTATATTACACTATTTGAAAAAGTGTCTTTTGCATGCCTGATTTTATTGTAGGACATATTTGCTGCGGGAACTGCTACTACATCCACAGTCACAGACTGTGCAATCAGTGAGCTAATAAGACACCCTAGAGTAATGAAAAAGATGCAGCATGAGGTCGGAGAAACTGTGCAAGGAAACAATATGTCATGAAATGGTCACGGTTAATGTAAAATTTGTGTGACTCTAACTAGTTTATGGTTATGGTTTTAGTTACACACGTGAGCACAAGTTAATCAATAGCCACATTTCTAACATTTAGTGTTAATATGATACTTGTGTGGTGATAACTGGTTTATCACTATGGGTTCAGTTATTTTATGTGATCAAAGTATAATCAATAGCCACGGTTTAAACAATTCAGTGTAAGCATATGTCATGAATTTGCCACGATTAGTATAAAATTTGCATCGCCTATAAGTTGTTTATGGCTACATTTTTAGTTATTTTGTATGACCAAAGGTAACAAATAGTCATGATTCTAATATTTATGGTAACTATATGTCAAAATTTGGTCACGGTTAATATAAAATTTGTGTGACGATAAGTAGTTTACGGCTCTTTTAAAACAAATATACGTGGTTATAGGGTAATCATTGGACTGAACTCTTTGTGACTTAGTGGAGCACGTACAACATGCCCCCAATACCCTCAATAGGAGCAAATCCCATGTCCTTATAAGTTGTTTATAGGGGTTGTTTGACAATTGCTGAATGGTTTGGTGCAAAATGATTAAGTGGTCAGAATGATTAAGATGCTCTCATTATACAGTGCAAAATGAAATATAATTGTTTAGTAATTGTGTACAATAAAATTAGGGCTCTTAATTGTTAAGAGATATCCATGATACAAAATCATTCAGAGGGTTTTAGAACCATTAAAAGGCATGCTTTTTTTTTGCCAAACAAGATTCACCTCTTAACAATCCAGAAGTTGTCTCTTAATGAAACTATTAAGAGGTAAACAAACAAGTGATCAAAATGATTAAAAGACTCTCATGATATAGTGTAAAATGAAATATAATTGTTTGATAATTGTGTACAATGAAATTAGGGCTCTTAATAATGGTTAAGGGAGATCCGGGATACAAAATCATTCAGATGGTTTTAAAACCATTAAGAGGCAGACTTTTATTTGTTAAACAAGATTCACCTCTTAACGATTCAGAAGTTGCCTCTTAATGAAACTATTAAGAGGGTAAACAAACAACCCCTAAATCATAAGTTTTCAAAATTTATCGGGCTAGCTCAGCCGAGGAGGCTACAAGCACAGGTACGTTGAGGGCTCGACCCTAGTCGATGAAGCTTTTCTAAAGCTGGAAGCTTTCGCAGGGATATATGGTTGTGGGATTTTTGGTTTATATTTGTGTTTTAAGCGTTTGTTGTTTTGTATATTTGGTTATATTCAATGCATACCATGCCAAACATAACAAAATGCCAACAGGATATTGGAGATGTGGACAAGAAAAATCTTATCTAAGATATTGCTAATAGAGATTTTCTGAAAAATTGCAATATATCCTGGACCACAAACAATTCAAGAGAAAAAAAAAAGTACTCGTACAATACAACAAGATATATCTCGATTTTAATATTTTATTTTATTTTTTTGTCTCTGTCGATGTTATATTACGATTTTATGTGTTTTTAAGAAAACAATAATGATTTTATTTTTGAATAAAATATAAATTTGAAAAAAAAATATATTAAATCAACTATTTAAAAAGTTCTCATTTTTATGTAATTTCTTTAATTTATTTTTTTAATTATAATTTAATTTAAATTTAATAATAAAATAATTTATTTTTGGTTTAATAATATAACATTTTATAAAGATATTAATTAAGTAGTTTAGAACTCAATGATTATCCTAATTATATTTTAAATTTTTTATATTTAWAATGAGATGTTTATCCTGTATTTGATTATATTTATTTGCAGTTAGTTACACGAATTCAGATATGTAGTTTTAATAAGTTGTATTTACGTACAATATACTTGTAATCTTAAGTTTTAAATAACATGCATTAATAAACAGTACTTTATGCATAAAAAATAATTTTTAAGAATTTTTGTCAAATGTTTTATAACATAGTATAGATACACAATCTAACTTAATTTTATATAAGAAATGACATGTCAACATGTGGATAATACATGATATGGAAACCAATTAATTTGTGTCATGCCATCTTAATTCAAATCAAAAGGTTATTCATTGTTATGATGTTTAAATTTTGTAAAGTACAATGCCTTAATAAAAAAGAATTTAAAAGTACATTTATGTAATAATATAAAAATAAAAGTACAATGCTATGATAAAAAAATTTATGAAAATTATGTTGCATTTAACCTTAAGTTATTAAAATATTTATTTTTAATTAAAATTAATGATGTAAAATACTTTAGATTTTGAAAAAATGAGACAAATTTATTGAGTTTATTACGTGGTAGGGTTTGATATATATGAAAGGATAAATGATGTGCAGGAAGGAGATAGATTGCTGTAAAAGTTAATGATGATATATCATGGTTGTCATCTCACGAATGAAAATTTAGCAATGATTCAGCAAATCATTGAGGAACATATATATATATATATATATATATATATATATATATATATATATATATATAGCTAGCATTGATACATAAGATTTTGCAAAATGTTTGCAACTGCTAGAAGCGAGGAGTGGCCACAACCAGCAAAGGGGACTTCCTATGGAGTGTAAGGCCAGTGACCTCACTCATATCCAGTTCTTCCCCTCTCGCCTCATCTGGCAGTTTCAGGTCATATTTGTACACCAAATTTGCTAAAGCGAGCTCATTAACACCAATAGCAAAGTGAATAGCAGGACACCCTCTCCGTCCACCACCAAACGGAAGAAACTCAAAGTGAAACCCTTTATAGTCAATAGGACTGTTCATAAACCTCTCTGGCTTGAACTTATCTGCTTCCTCCCATATTGAAGGATCTCTTGCTATCGCCCAAGCATTAATGATCACCTGTGTACCTGCGGCAATGTCGTACCCCATCACTTTGACGTCTTGTATTGATTCTCTAGAAATGAGTAGTGGGAGTGGAGTATGCAACCGCAACGTCTCTTTGAGGACAGCTTGTAAGTAGTGCATTTTCTCCAAATCCTCCTCATGAATCATGGATTTTCCTTGCGCAATTTCTCCAACCTCGTGCTGCAACTTTTTCATTACTCTAGGGTGTCTTATTAGCTCGCTGATTGCCCACACTAAGATTGTGGATGTAGTAACAGTTCCAGCACCAAATATGTCCTACAAGAAACCCAAAATACTATAAGATTGCTTCAACTATAGAAAAGAGTATCATATTTATATAAATAGCTGTGCAGAACAGCTTGCTAGCTTGGATCTTTCAATGACTCTTTGAGGAGAGAGGCTGAGCAATCTCACCAAGATGGCAGCTTTAATGACATCTCTGCCAAGTGTAAAGCTGGTTGTGTTCTCACTTTGGGTATCCAGTAAGATGTCCATAAAATCTTGGCCGCCTTCATCAATTCCATCCACCACTCTTTTCTTATTTATGTGTTCTTCAAGAATACCCTCAAGAAACTCGTCAAATTCTTCAGCAACTTGTTTTGTTGTTCCCTCTAAACCACTCAATCGATCCACCCATGACAGCCATGGAATATAATTCCCAACAGCAAAAACACCAAGAAGGTATGAAAATCTTGCCAACAAGTGCCTGAACTCTATCCCATATGTCCTCCCTAAGGTCACCCTGCAAATTATATTGTTCGTAAGTGAACTTACCAACTTACCCATATCAACTAATGAACCACAACTTCCTCCAATCATGTCGATCATAACACGGGTCTCCTCTTCTCTTACTCCTTGAAATGACTGAACTCGTCTAGTACTTAGAAGCTTGAGCACTGCGATGCTCCTTAGCTGCCTCCAATACTCTCCATATGGAGAAAATGCTATGTCCTTAGATCCATAAGTAAGTTTGTCTACGATACTTAATTTGGGTCTGCTGCAGAATATCAGATCATGTGTTTTCAAGATTTCTCGGGCTGCTTCAGCAGAGTTGGCTACAAGCACGGGTACACTGCCAAGTTGAATTAGCACAAGTGGACCTTGTTTTTGGGTTAAGGCCAGGAGAGAGCGGTGGGGGTTGAAGCCTATCGCTATTTGGTGAAGGTTTCCGATGATTGGAAGCTTCCAGGGTGATGGTGGTTGGTTTTTGTGGGCAGATGAAAGTCCTTTGAAAAGAATGAAGAGCAATGTCACAATGAACATTGGAATAAGAGGAAGCAATGGGAGATGAAATGAGAGAAACATTGTTGTTCAAATGGTAGGAAGCAATTAACAGTTGTTTGCTATTGTGAGATCACTTCAGGTGTATGCAATTTAAATCATACCGACGAAGCTGTAAAGTGATGATGTGCAGTAAAGCTGTAAAGCACTTAACAGTTGTTTGCTATTATTTTTTAAAATTATACTTGTAATATTTTCCAAATTTTGAATATATTATTTTATTTGTAAAGTTCATGAAAAAAAAAACAATCGATATATTTATTCGTTAGACTAAACAAACACTTAAAATTAATTTATATGGTTTGTAAACTTTGAATGATTTGTATTTGATATACTAACAAATGCCAAATTTACCACTTAGCAATATGCAAACAAATTTTTTGTCAGTTTCTTGATCCAATGAACAAATTCATTCGTGAGGGATCTAAACATTGGGTTCAAAGACGATATATATATATATATATATATATATATGAGTGATAAAATACAAACCGCTCCATTTTATAGAAATCATAGAATCAACCAATGATATAATTCAATTTAAATAATATATTAATTGTGTCTAAATCGGAAAGATTATATAGATTAGAGGTTTTTAGAAAATGATTAATCAATTTATTTTTAGGAAGCATATAAAGTATTTTGTGAGCGGAGGTTCATATAAGTTAACATGTTAACATATGTTAATAGTTCATGTTTAAGATGTGTTTGAGCATCTCGAACAAATTCTCTAAAATAGAGATCATGTTCTCTATTTTGCTACAATAGATTCTCTACATTTTTCTTTAAAATAGAGAAAACAGCATAAAACTCAAAATTTAGAGAATTCTCTAAAACTTAATGAGAGTAGAAAAAGCTAACTTTTCTTTATTTTCTCACCAATTAGATTAAATTATTATTATTTTATATAAATTTTTTAAATATGTATGAGGAATTATTATTTTATATAATTTTTTTAAATATGTATGAGGATGATAAATTATAAAACATAATAACTTTGGTTATTTTTAATATAAATTTGGAATTTTTGTTTAACTTTAAGTTGGGTATATATAAATATCGCTATATAGCTAAGAAGTGTGATCTTACTTCTATTATATACATACACAAATGTGTACGTATACATCCAACTTTAGACAAGCAACCAATTTGTGGTTGCACTGTCTGTGTCAAATTTCCATGAAATTCTTGTTTTTGTGTGTATATATATATATATATATATATATATATATATATATATATATATATATATACCTAAGATGGAGGAAACAAGAATACTAATTATTTAAGAAAATGTAAAAAGGTCAAATCAGGTGGAAAATCACATGTGATTTTACTTCAACGGTAAAAAATGTGTAGAAACGACTTTGGTGTTGAGGTCGAGGGGTAAAATCATGTGATTTTATACATGATGTTAGTGTAAAATCACATGTGATTCGACAATTTTTTTGTTCTCTTAAATAGGTACCGTTCTCGTTTGAACTCGTCTCTCTCTGTTGTAGAAAACATGTTTTTTGCTATAAAGTTTCAAGTGTAAAAAAGTGAACTCACAAATTTCATAAAAACAAGTTATTCTCACGTGATCCCAAGTCTCTCTCCCTAAATATAATAAATTATAAAATAGGGCAAGTCTATGTTTTTCTTTTTCTTTCTTAAATTTATCATGTGAATTAATATTTATACATTTAAAAAAGAAACTATAAAATAAGACAAAAAAATTTAAAATTAACATAAAAGTAATAAAATATAAATATATAACAGAATTAATATTATTTAAAATATGTTATTTAAATGTGAAGTCTACAAATTTAGTATTTTTTTATAGTGTGGTTGGAGTTGCATTTTTCTATTATTTAACAAGTGTTAGGGGCCGTTTAACAAACGTTTACCCTTACGAAGTTCCATTACCTTATTGGATGCATATGTCAAGGATCAAATTAAGATTTTACCCGATAAGAGCGAAGGCAAGCACCGAGAGTCTTACCCGGTAAGTGTGGGCAACAACTCTTACCACAGTTAGCACTTACCGGGTAAAATTGTTGCCTATGATACCCTTTTGGTATACTAAAGTCTTACTCGGTACGTAAGTAATAGTGTTGAATTTTTCCGATAAACACTTACCCAGGTAAACGTTTGGTAAACGACCCCTTAGAAAGCACCCTATAGAATCTAAGCTTGGGGATTCAGATGAAACAGAATGATGCAACTTTTTTATTGATGAAAACATTAATTGAAACAAGATGTGATCAAAGTTATTGCATCCAATCATCCATGATTGAAACCATGCTAGAAATGGGGAATCGCCATGGCCATTAAAGGAGCCATCTTATGGACAACAAGACCCATATTCTCACTCATGTCCAGTTCTTCATCATCAGGCAATGCCAAATCAAATTTGTACACTAAATTCGCTATAACGATCTGATCGATAGCTATAGAGAATTGAGTGCCAGGACACATTCTTCGGCCTGCACCAAATGGAAGATACTCGAAGTGATGCCTTTTATAGTCAATGGCATTGCTTAGAAACCTCTCTGGCTTAAACTTGTCTGGTTCATCCCATAGTGAAGGATCTCTTGCTATTGCAAAGGCATTGACGAGCACTTGTGTACCTGCTGCAATGTCATACCCCATTAACTTGACATCTTTTATTGCTTCTCGAGTAATCAGTAGCGGGGCTGGAGGATGTAACCTCAGTGCCTCTTTGATCACGGCTTTCAGGTAGGGCATTTTCTCTACATCCTCTTCGCTGATCGTGGATCTTCCTTGTGCTACTTCGCTTACTTCTAGCTGCAGCTTTCTCATCGCTTGTGGGTGTCTTAGTAGCTCACTCAAGGCCCATTCGATGCTTGCGGCTGTAGATTCGATTCCAGCAGCGAAGACGTTCTACAAAATAGTGAAAGGTTAGGTGCTTGAACTATATAAACTATAGATATATATGTTGGCTGTTGCATGTTGGCCTTTCAAAACTTACCAGGATTATAGCTTTAACAGTATCTCTGTGAAGGGATATGATGGGATCGAGTAAGATGTCGAGAAAATCTTGGGGTTTGTCAGTTTCATCATCAACATCTGCTCTGCTCCTCTTGTTTATATGTTCTTCAAGAACTCCCTCGAGGAAGGCGTCAACTTCTGGAGCAAGTTCAATGGCTGCACGTTCTAAACCCCACAACCGACCCACCCATGACAGCCATGGAATGTAACTCCCAGCACTGAAAACGCCAAGCAGATATGTGACCCTTGTCAACAAGTGTTTGAACTTTAACCCTTGATATGTCTTCCCGAGGGTCACCCTACAAACTACGTTGCTTGTAAGTGAAGTTAGCAACTCCTTAAAATCAACCAAAGAACCATGGCTTTTTGTAATCATGTCAATCATAACTCTAGTCTCCTCTTCCCTCACTTGTCGAAATGACCGAACCCGTTGAGTACTTAGAAGCTGGAGCATGGATATGCTCTTGATTTGCCTCCAATATTCTCCATAAGGGGAAAATGCTATGTCCTTAGAGCCAAAACTAAGTGCATGGGATATACTCGATTTGGGTCTGTAACAAAACTCTAAATCATGAGTTTTCAAGATTTCTTGGGCTGTTTCAGGTGTGGAGGCTACAACAACAGGTACACTACCAAGGTGAATCAACATGAGTGGACCATGTTTTTTTGCCAAGTCATGGAGATAGCTGTGTGGGCTTGAGCCTAATTGGTGAAGATTTCCAATAACTGGAAGCTTTAGGGGGGATGGTGGTCTGTTTTTGTGGCTTTCTGGAACAGATGAAAGCCATTTGAAAAGTATTAAGAACACCAACAGAATGGAGAGGGGAATACATAGATAAAAGAATAGATCAGACTCAGAGGTATGAAACATTGTTCTTCTAATCTTAAGCAAATGTCAGAAGGTCTTGTATGGTGTGTGTAGGTATGCACACATATTTATACTCAGGTTTCAATAATTAGAGTAGCTTATGAGAAATTTTTTGTTATTTTTTTCATTTATAACTCTCGTTAGTATTAATTATTATTTATAACTATTAGGGTACGTTTTTGGTACACTGGACAGAGACATGACAGAACATGATAGAGATCTTTGTTCCATGTTTGGCATGAATTTTATGTGGAACAGACAGGAACAAAGTGGAATATGCCTGTTCCACCCCTACCCCATGGAATAGGGTGAAACAGACTTATATTTTACTAATATAACCTTAAAATAAAACTTAATTATCTTCTAAAACATCAAATAGGTGTCTCTTTTACATTTTATTTACTATTTGATATTTGATCCATTTTAACTGATTGTGCACTTGTTAATAGTAGTTTTTTCTTCTTAGTATGGAATGCATATAGATTTGCTTCGATAATAGATTTTTGATGCTTATATTATATTTACCTTTTTCATATATCATTAGTTGATTATGAAATCATGTATTTTTGCAAATGTATTTTTGCAAGTAATAGTGGTTTGATGTAAGTTATACTTTGTGCATCGTATTTGTTAACATTTATATTGATTATATAGTGAAAAAAACACTAAACAACTCACTGGGGGTAAATTGGTCATTTTAACCAGTTCCATCCAGTCTTGTCATGTCTTACCAGACGCTAAACAACTGTTATGTTCTGTCCTGTTCTGTTCTGTTATGTCATGTCCTGTCTGCATACCAAACACACCTTTAATTATAGATAAATATTAATTATTAAAATTAAAATTAATTATTAGTAATATTAATAAGTATTAGTTAATATTAGTTGGAATTTTTTAGTTAATCTTAATTATATATTATCTATTATACATTATAAAAATAACATTGATTCTTAATTTTTGAATTATAATTAATCATATCAATTATTTTTATATATTATTATTTTTCTAATTATTATTCAATATATTTAGTCGTCAAAAAATAAATATAACAATTCTAATAATGTTCATGTAATTTACATAAAAATTAAAGTTATACTTATTTTGTTTCATAGATGATAAAATTGTGTTAAAAATTATTCTAATTACATATTTAATTTAATTATTAATTATATTTTTGAAAATTACTAATTAATCATGATATATGAGGTTGACCAATTTTATTCTTATTCATATTATATGTTACGGTTATTTAAAATCATAAGTTAATATAATTAATATTGTAATCTCTAATATGGAGAATATGTTAGAACTAAGGTAATTTTCTTTAGAGATCTGAGTTTTAATTTTTTTTTTAACAACTAGGAAACAATTTTATTAGAGCAGAATCTAGCAAGACACTAGTTTATAAAGCATCTGAAAAACATATAATGGAGGGTTATAACACCAAGTTTTAATTCTTCATTTTGAAAAATCTTGGAGAATTTGTTGGAGATGTTCTTACCATGAGAGAGAAACAATTGTTCATTATATTTTCACCAATAAGAAACATTGAGGTTAAATGTTTATGAGAGAAAAATAATATTTTATTATCTATCTACAATATTTTAATAATATAATCAATGTTTTAAGCTTTGTTTGATAAGCTAGCTGATGGTTGATAAATTAACTGATTAATTAGTTGAAAAATGTAAAAAAAAAATATTTTAACATTTCATAATATATTTAAAACAATTCAAATATTAAAAAAGATAATAGAATATGTTAATTAATATATTTTAATTTGATTTATTATTATTTTATATATAGTATTAAAAAAGTTAGATTTGTATAATTAAATACAAATTTTAGAAAACATCTACTTTAAATGATGCTTTCTAATAACCACTACCTAACAAAAAAAGGTTGGTGAACCTTGTATATTTTATATAATTAATAATTTTTCAAAAAAAAAATATATTTTATTAAAATATATATCAAATTTTTATTGTTACGAAACAAAAGAAATCGTATAACTTTAAATTTTATGTTTTTTACAAACATATTTTTAGAATTGATATATTTGTTTTTTTGACAACTAAGTATAGTAAATAATAATAATATAAAAATATTTGAAAAAATTAATAATAATTCTAAATGGTCAATAATTAAAATAAACGAAATACTTATCGCCACCACTACAACTGTGGATCACCTAACCTCCACCATGACCACCACCACCGGCTACCACGAACACTGCACACCACCACTACCTCTATTACATTGGCCACAACCACCTCCTCCACCATTGTCGACTGCCATCACCACCACTATTTACCATCTTCACGTTCTTCACAAAGACCACTGACCACCACTGTCCATCGCCACCACCACTGGTACCATCGGCCATTAATTACCACCTCCACCACTACCACTATATGTATTTTTGTAAAAATGTTTATAAATGAAATTATTTAATAATTTACTTTATTTATGTTAATTATAACTACTATATGATATGTGAAATCATTAAATTACTTTTGGGGGCAATTATTTTAGTTCTATCAAGTCCAATCCTATTCGTACAAAACACCATACAAACACTTGTTGTGTCCAGTTCTATCCCTTCCAGTTATGTCCGGTCATACCCTCTTGTCCTGTTCAATTATGTTCAATCATGTCTACATACGAGGCACTACCCAAAAGAACTAACCCTAAAAACCGTTTTTGGACATCTCTATCAAAAGATCAAACCAATTACATATATATGTGATGGGTATTTGAACACCAAAATTAATTGTTTTTTAGACACATAAGTTTTTCTTATTCATAATGCCCATTTAAATTTATAAAGCCAAGAACAAGAACACATTTAATAAATCTAGATAAGTTGTAAAATGAAACAAAAAGATGATCAAAATGACTGGACAGTACCATTAATCCCTAATTTTATCCAAAAGTCAAAATTATCTTGATGAAAACCCTATCCAAAAGCAATCTCGATAACCCAATAGAAATTGAGCTATATGGAGAATATACAAACAAAAATTTAAGAGCCACGAAATGAAAAAAAAAAATGTTAGTATCAGATCATCGATGAACAATATGGAATCCCCAAATCGATCAATCTAAATCGACAATTTTGAATGTTGTCGGTTTAAATCTAACATGATCTACCTTCTTTCTTTCTTTTCATTCTTCTTTTTGATACTATTTATCTTCAAATGGGTTTCATCTCATTTCAATGCCAAGAAAAGCTTTCCACCATGTCCACCAAAGCTTCCGATCATCGGAAACCTACATCAACTAGGCTCGAGTCCCCATCGCTCGCTCCAGGCCTTGTCCCAAAAACATGGTCCACTCATGTTGATGCACTTTGGCAGTGTACCGATGCTTGTAGCCTCTTCTGCTGAAGCAGCGAGAGAGATCATGAAAACCCATGATCTGAAATTCGCTAATCGGCCCAAGTTAAATATTGCCGACATAGTTGTATATGGCTCCAACGACATCACATTTTCTCGTTATGGAGAGTACTGGCGGCAGATGAAGAGCATCGCAGTGGTTCACCTTCTAAACAACACACGAGTCCAATCGTTTCAACATGTGAGAGCAAAAGAGGTGGCTGTTCTGATAGAAATGATTAAAAAAGATGGTGGTTCTGTAACTGATATGAGTGAGTTGATGTTTTGGCTTGTAAATAACATAGTATGTAAGGTGGCCTTAGGGAGGACATATCGTGGGTTGAAATTCAGGAACTTGTTGGAAAGGTTCGTGCAAGTTCTTGGTGCCATTAGCGTTGGAAGTTATATTCCATGGCTGTCGTGGATAGATCGATTGAGTGGTTTGGAGGATAAAGCACATCAAGTTGCTAAAGAACTTGATGCGTTTTTTGAAGGTGCTGTTGAAGAACATATAAACAAGAGAAAAGGAATAGATAATGTTCAAAGTGATGAAGACCAAGATTTCGTTGACATCTTATTGGATGTACAAAGAGATAACACAACCGGCTTTACCCTTTTCAATGATACCATTAAAGCCCTCATCTTGGTAAGATTTCCATTTGCTTGCTTGTAGTCATATGTACATTATAAAGTATAATCAATCAATCGTAACAATTGTGTTTCTTGTAGGACGTATTTGTTGCTGGAACTGATACTACGTTTGCAACTCTAATTTGGTCGATCAGCGAGCTACTAAGACACCCAAGAGTAATGAAAAAACTACAACTAGAAGTARCTGAAATAGCACAAGGAAAACCCTTGATTCTTGAGAAGGATTTGGAGAAAATGGAGTATCTTAAAGCCACCATCAAAGAGACCTTGAGAATGTATCCACCACTCCCACTACTTATTCCTCGAGAATCAAGACAAGATGTCGAACTAATGGGGTACGATATTCCAAAAGGCACACAAACGATTATCAATGCTTGGGCCATAGGGAGAGATCCTACCTCATGGGAAGAACCAGATGAGTTTCGGCCAGAGAGGTTCTTGAACAGTTCCACGGACTATAAAGGGGTTCATTTTGAGCTAATCCCCTTTGGTGCTGGACGAAGAGGGTGTCCTGGTATTCAATTTGGTGTGGCGATCGTCGAACTTGCGTTGGCAAATATTGTGTACAAGTTCGATTTGACGTTGCCAAATGGAGTCAAAGACGGGGATTTGGACATGAGTGAGACATGTGCCATAACACTCCATAAGTCATCACCTTTAATGGTTAAGGCAAGTCCTCGGTTTGACATATAAATATATTGTGTTCAAATTCATCATTATAACAAGGATGTATTCCTTGTATTTTGAGCTGTCATTTTGCAAATTTTTGTAAGTGAAAAAAAAATAAGAATGCATGGTGTGAATAATATGTTTGTGAAAACGTAGTTTCACCTAGACATGGACGAAAAAGCCTGAGTCTTGCTTAAAAAACCCTGAACCAACTGAGGTCGAAGCCTGTCTATGAAGATCTCATAGTTTGATCAGGCTGAAATTTTGGTGGGAAACCCTACTAGACAAAACTCGACCTAAAAAAGCTTGGATAAATCCGATTGAACTTGAAAAACCCTTTCTAAAAAAGCCCAATCAGACCAGGCTTAAACAAGCAAGAACATTTATTTTCTCCCTGAAAGCATGCTCGGAAGGCTCAATGGGACATGGTCACAATAAACCCGAACTTTATGCATCTCTAGTTTCATCCGAAAAAGTATTAAATTAACATTACAAATTTTTAAAGACAAACTGATCGATGATTTTCTTTTAACTTTTTGTTTCTGATAATTTTTCATGTGTTCTTGTCATGAATCATGAACAAGATAAAATAGCAATATCATATACCAGTCTTAATTCATGAGATGTCTGTGATAATTTATTTTCTTTAAATTTATTTATATTTTGTGTAGCATCTTTAGTGAATTATTGGGCAAGGGCATGGCTTGTTCCCAAGCTCACTCTTTCCCTCCTATTTCTGTAAATTTTTAATGAGAAAAAAAATAGGAAACCAATAGCAACAGTACAGTACAGTACATTAGGTGATCTTGATATGAATGCTGCTACTGTTTTGCATCACTACACCTTTAATTTGGTGGAATTATATATGAATCAAAGAACTTAAAGAATCCACTAGAAAAAGTTGTTGCTCATAGTAAATAAACTTTGATGATATTAAACCTATAATGTATGCATAAGTTGAAGGTTCAAATGTCAACGAAAATGATACCATTTTACGCAAATACGAGAACACTTAAAACAGACAACCATCACATGTAAATGTGTTGTACTGTATAGGGATGAAATGGTGTGCGGCCGACTTAGGTTGCAACCTAAGCCATAACCAAGGTTGTTTGTGTCCATCATGTCTGTATCACGACTCACGAGTTTATTACATGTGATGATTGGTTATTTAGATGTTCTCGTATTCTCGCAAGATACTAATTCCTTCTCATGTAGATAAATGCACTAAATGGAAGATGGTGTGATAAACACAAGAACCAAAGTTGCATACGATGGTAGATGGTGTGTCGTCTAAGACTATATCCAACCCAACGACTAAAAGAATACTAAAAATATTATTAGTGGTAGACTCGTTAAACATTAAAAAAGTTCAACTCCAATTATATATACACTAGCTAAAAAATACCAAAAAATACCAAAAATATTTTAAAACCATAATAGTTATAATAAAATAACATATTTATCATTATTGTTATAGTATTTTATTAAGACACGATATTTATAAT